AGTGTGAAATACAACATGTACTTTGCACTATAAACTTCCTAACTAGAGTGAAGTCAAAAAGCCTTTGAAACAGATAAATACACTTGTCTAATACTTGTCTAGTTGTAATTGTGCCTTAACTTCGTTCGTTTTTATTTGACACTTGGATAGTCATATTTTGTTTCACAGGTTTAATGTCTCAATCTATGCAAAATTTGCATAATTTAGCAGTATTTGTAATRGAGTAAAAAACATCAAATGTGTGCAACACTTTCCACTATTTACTACACAATAGTGTTAATTAAACAATAGAAAACAATAGAATTTAGCATAATTTAGCAGTATTTAGTGGTATTTATGTTGCACAGTTTTAGTGTTTGTACTCTAGTTGCTGCTTCACACTAATCACTTATTTGTCAATATCATTTAGCTTAATTAAGTAAAAACATTTATATATTAAATTATAGTAAATATTATCAAATACCTGCACAGCACATCCAAGCATCAAGAGCAGCAGCTTAACAAGCTCCTGAAGTCCTACATCTGAAATAAAATATAATAAGACTGATCACATGACGTGCTAATACTAAAACTAMAGCATGAAAAAGTACAAATAATTAAACTAAAGAGTGCTAAATATACCTGCCTAACAGAGCGTAGATTAAACAATAGAAAACATAAACTATTTCAATTTACAGTGTGAATCGAGAAGCTATGCCCGCCTAGAAATAGTTTGGGAATGTTAACTGTTCACTGACCAATCAGAGGCGAGATTAACATTCATCTCTAAAGTGTACTTTCACTTGTAAATTTGATCAAAACTTCAATGTTAATAAGAATATAAGCAAAACTTGTTAATCAAAAAAAAAAAAAATGGCCTGTGTATGAAAGCTCACAAATWGTAAAACTTTCATTGCTTATCCAAATATAAACAAAGTTTCCATTTAATGTTTTTCATCATGCTTTCTTGTATGTCAGCAAAAGTCACTTTTCAATTACAAATTCCTTAAATAATTCTAGGTTGTCAGAGCTTTTCAATTCACAATGTGCCAGTTTCTGACAATTTTTTCATTATTATTTGCGACAATACATACCACTGTCAGGGCAGTGAGCGATAGCTACCACATCTGGTGCTCTCATCAAAACCAGCTGCTGTAATTTTTCCTGATAACATAAAAATATCACACAATGTTTAAGAATAGTCATTAGT